CAAAGCAAAATTTACTTTCTCTATTATAAATTGACTTATCTTACCTAATCTAAAACCGATCACTAGATAAATTCTCATTTTTATCACCTTCAAAATGTGTTCTTTCATAAATAACCTACCAATTCAAAATTTCATAAATTGTAATATTTTCTAACTTACAACTTAGATCTGAAAAAAATTTAACCGCCATTTAAACTTATACCTCAAAATAATTTCTGCTCATATAAACATTGAAATCTACTACTTTGATTTGGAGTTGATTCATCAAAGAACTTACCACAAATTACAATTTTAATAATAAACCTTAGCTTTCTTTACCTTTTTCCTTTGTTTCTCTTATTTCCCCTTCGGCCAAGCTCTCGATGTCAAGTTGCTGCCTACGATAATGGAAAATGAGGGATATCTCTAGTGCTTTAGTACATAGCATATATAGTAGATGTACACATATATAAAGCTACTACTACTAAAATCAATTACATCAATTAAAATCTCCAAGGGCCAATGCATGCCAAAGTTAGCGGATATGGAACTAAAAAAGCTACAAGGCATTGATTTGATTCAACAGGGTATTAATATAATGAATATAATTATAAAAAAAGAATTTTTATTAGTCAATATTTTTAATATATATATATATATATATATACATCTCACGATGTTGGCTACGCTCGAGAGCTCCGCTAGATCACTAGGGCTTCCAATGGTGATTTCGGTCGCAATTGATTCTACCGCTGGAAGGAGAGGAATCAGCGACTCTCGCTCCATCCGTCTGCGTCTTCGTCGGCGTCGGCGTCGACGTCGCTGCCTACTGCTCGTGTCGTCGTCCCTCGATATCGCTACACCTGCTCGATATCGCTCCTCGCAGCTTCTTTGTCTGCGTCCGTTTCTATTTCGGCGCTGCTCTGCTTCTGCGCCTGTTTTGGCTTCGCTGCTTCTGCGCCCGCCCGACAGCTCCTCTACACTTGGCAGTAGTTTAATGACAGCCTCTGACCTCTGATAGCATTTCCTTCTTCTATGATGGAGCCGGACAAAGTCTCCTTTGCCCACGTAGTGGGTCACCCTCAAGTGGAGTCAGCAAAGAGATTCCCCTCAAGTTATAAGGAAAGTTATAAGGAATCTCGTGAGGGAATCTCGTGAGGGCACTGATGATTATCCTTTTATTAAGAAGAGCAGGAAAGATGAAAAAAAAAACAATCTTTTTCTCTGAATCTGAAATTTCTACTATGACGAAAAAATTCAAGTTTGCTCTAATTGAAAATTTTCAGTGGTGAAACCCCCCTATGGATGTTATCAGAAAGAGTATTGATGATCATAAGCTAGTAGGCAAGTGAAAAGCGAGACTCATGGATAAAAAACATGTGTTGATCCAACTAACGGTGGTTGAAGACTACACCAGGATTTTCTCCAAGAAATATCTTAATATTGAAGGCAAATCAATGAAGTTACTCAAGTGATCTCCTAATTTCGACCCAAATCATGAAACTCCCACTGTACCGGTATGGTTTAGTTTACCTGGTCTCAAGCTGCATTTTTTTCATCATCAGATTCTCTACTCTATTGGGGTCATTCTTGGGGATCCTCTGAAACTAGATCTGCCTACTTTCAACCTAACCAGACCCTCGGTGGCTAGAATACTTGTGAAAAGGGATATTACTTTACCTGATATTACTGAAGTTTGGCTGGGCATAACCCATAATGGTTATTGGCAACAAATCATCATGGAACACAAACCCCCATATTGTACCCACTGTAAGTTGTTTGGTCATATCCTTGCTAAATGCCGCAAACATCATCCTAATTTAAAATCTAAGGTTCAAGTAAATAAGGATGGGTCTAACCCCAATATTGTGGACATTTTAGTTTCATCAGAGGAGGATACTACCAGATATGAGGTGTTTGTTGCCCCTGAGGATCCCCCCCATGAAACTGTTGTTACTGCTACTGCGAGTGATGCCGTCACCTACAAATTCCATACAAAACAATACTGATGGACTCTTACCTATAAATGATGGTGTTCAGACTGATAATTAGGAGAGTCTCGCAGCTCCACTTCTTCAAGAAGTATCCGGTGTAGCGGCAACTCATACTTCACATATTCCAGAACCTACTATGGGTACTACTGTTGGTAATCTTTCTTCTTCAGCTCTACCCCATCAGGCTGATTCTTCGGAGGAGAAATGACAGGTTTACACTTCCAGGAGGAAGAAGAAAACTGGAGATCTACTAGAGCACCTTACCAATATTACCAATCTGCTAGTTGGATCCCTACCGAGAACTAGAGCTAGAGGCAAGACTAGATTGGGATGACCCACACTTTTTCAGCGCCTGGGTGATTTTTGAGTGCTAGCTGGATCCCTACCGGGTAATGATCAGCACCCATCTTCTTTTACTTTTTTTATGTGTGTTGTACCGTGTGGATTGGGAGTTTAGGCCCACCCATACAAATATATCTGTATCTTTATCTTTAATATATTAGCCCTTGGGCTTTTTTAAAAAAAATATATATATATATATATTTATGTACACCTAAAATGGCGCATTTACCTAAAGTGACACGAATGTAAAAGTTAATGTTTAGATATTTGATTGGTAAATATATAAGAATTGAATGGTATGTATCTAAATCTGCTTTTCACTTTTTATTAGGTGTATTTGCATACATATCACTCAACCCCTATGTATTTGCCTATCTAACATTTAAATTTTTATTTTTACATTTATTTCACCCATTTTTTTTTTATCACGTGAAAAATAGACCTATCTCCCCCATTACAATGGTACTTGCACTGTGCATTTGATAAAATGTCAACCATACAAAGCACTTTGGAATCCTTGGATTATCAACCGCCCAATTTTGTTTTTCCAAATGTACTCCAATTTTAAATGGTGTACTCAGTCATCCTGCATTGATTAGATGGTTAGAGTTGGCAGCTACACCACAATAGGTTCTAGTATATGTGAAGTATGAGTTGCCTCTACACCGGATACTTCCTGAAGAAGTGGAGCTACGAGGCTCTCCTGATTATCGAGCTGAACACTATCATTTGTAGGTAATAGTCCATCAGTATTGTTTTCTATGGGGTTTGAAGGTGCCAGAATCACATCACTCACAGTAACAGTAACAGCAGTGTCATGGGTACCTCCTGTCCGGTAATATCCTCCCCAGGTGGAACTAAAATGTCCAGAGCAGTGGAGTTAGACTCATCCTTATTCACTTGAACTTTAGATTACAAATTTGGATGAAACTTGTGGCATTTATCAAAGGCATTTATCAATGACATAACCAAACATCTTACAGTGGGTACAATATGGGGGTCTATGCTCCATGACGATTTGTTGTCAATAACCATTATGAGTTGTGCCCAACCAGACTTCAGTAACATCAAGTAAATTAATATCCCTTTCCATAAGTATTCTGACCACCTAGGGTCTGATTAGGTTGAAAGTAGGCAGATATAGCTTCAAATGATCCCCAAGAATGACCTCAATAGAGTAGAAAACCTGATGGTGAAAAAAATGCAGCTTGAGACCAGGTAAACTAAACCATACCGTTACAGTCGGAGTTTCATGATTTGGGTCGAAATCAGGAGACAACTTGAGTAACTTCATTGATTTGCATGCAATATTATAATATTTCTTAGAGAAAATTCTAGTGTAGTCTTTAACCACTGTTAGTTGGATCAACATATTTGCTATGAATCCCACTTTCCATTTGCCAGCTAGCTTAAGATCATCAACACTCTTTCTGATAACATCCATAGGAAGATGTCCCTACTGAAATTTTCCAATAATAGCAAACTTGAATTTTTCCGTTATGGTAGAAATTTCTGATTCAAAGAAAAAGATTGTTGTTTTTTCACATTTCCTACTTCCCTTCTTAACAAAAGAGCAATCATCTGTACTCTTGCGAAATTTCTTATAGCTTGAGGGGAATACCACCGCAGACTCCGCTTGGGCAAATGAGACTTTGTCCGGCTCAACCAAAGAAGAAGGAAACACCATTAGAGCAAGGAGAGTTGTCGACATTAAGCTACAGCGAGGTTGCTGACAGAAAGAGCCGGCAGAGAGAGAAGTCGCAACAGAAGAAAGCAACGTCGAAAACCTAAATGTCGGGCGCATACGCAGAAAGCGCGAGAGACGAAATTGCAACGAGAGACGGTGACGCTGACGCCGACACAAACGCAGACGCCAAACGACGGAGCGAGAGTCGACGATGCGAGGTTCTCTCCTTCGAGCTGTAGAATCAATTGCGACCGAATTCGCCATTTCTATAAAGTGACATATATATATATATATATA